CCTTCCTTCCTTGTTTCCTTCCTTCCTTCCTTCCTTCCTTCCTTCCCTTTTCCCTGATTGCTGTCTGTGGGTCTCCTCCTGGCCGGCCCTCCTTTTGCTCAACTCCGCACTCGCTCTCCCTCAACACACTCTCTCCGGCCGCCCCCTTTCCTGCCTTGTTATTCCAGTGCTCTGGAAAGTGCCGTGTTTTCCTTCCCCTGCTGTGCACGTTGCACCTGAATGGCTGATTGTGCTCCTGGCCCAGAGGAAAAAAGGGCTGGCAGTAACATCGGAGGAGCTGGAAAAGGAGTGGGGGGACATTCAGGTGCCCATGATGGGGACCCTTCACTACCCCTCTGTGGCAAAGAACTGCTGGATGATAGCTCAAAGGTTCCCTTTTGTGCCTCCTGATGGGAAGTCTTCCAATTTTGTATATTTCAGGTGGAGGTCCAACAGGTTGAGCTGTTAACTGCAAGGTGAGACAAGCAGCAGGAAAAGAAGCGGGTTGAGATGCTTCCTGCCCTCCTTTACCCAAACGGAGTAACAGCAGCTGATGTGACATATTTGATACCATTTCGTCATTGCCTGTTTTGGATCAAGGGGGGGGGAGGGAAGCTGGCTTCCTTCTGCAAGGAGGTGTTGAGACCTCCGGTGATCCCAGAGTGCCTCTGATTCTGATAGCTGCCCATTTGTCCCATCAGGAGCTTCCCCCTCCTCCCTCATTTGCAAATCAGCTGCCTTTGTTTTATGATTGTCCGGCAGAAGGTTAGCACGGACTTCCTTGACAAGTCTGGTGGCTCTGGCATGAGGTTCTGCCTGCATCACGTCTCTGGAAGATAAATAGATTTCAGCTCCTAAGGAGGGCCCAGAAAGAGCGGGGTTCTGGGAGTCTCCATCGTCCCTTTGGGCCACCTTCTTCAAATGCTTGCGGGACATCTGGGGTCTGACCCCCCTCCCTTCAAGAAGCCCCCTTAGGGCAGTTCCTGGCCTCTCACTCTCGGCCACCTCAGGGTTTAAGCATGGAAGCAGCAAGCATCCCAGTCTGGCCTTCAGCACAGAACCTTCTCTCTCTTTCTCCCCCCCCCTTCTGCCTGCCCCCATATGCATTCCTCTTCTCCTCCCCCTTTACCGCCTGCCCCCCCCAAAGTCCTCCTCCCCCGCCACCCTTCCAAACGTCAGAGGCCAACCCTGGCAGAGAATCGGCTCCTTTTGCACAAAGTGACTCCTTGTTCGGTTTTCCCAGCCGTGCGGTGCCGAGAATTTCAGGGAATCAGATCCATTTCCTGATGGAGTTTTATTACGTTCCCAACAGAAATAAATAAACAGGAGAGAAGCGAGGTGGACTCGGCGGAGCCTCTCCAGGCAAAGGAACGCCAGGACTGGTGGCAGCTCAAGCAAAGGAGATGATGGGGGGGGAGAGAGGGAGGGAGAGGGGTAGGCAGGCAGGAGGGACTTCTGGCCATGAGTCTCATCAGGAAGCCCCTGGCAGGGCCCAGCTTTCCAGGTACAGCCATCCCAGTTTGTGCTGGTCAACAGGAGAGGGACCC